CTCTGTGTTTATACTTATATTTAACTGTTGTAATAGTTAATGACTGAAAAATATGAATCCAAGAATATAGCTGAATAATTAAGTTGGAATCACAATAAATTTGAAACAAATGAGTTTTTCCTACAACGGAAAGCGCCTGCAATCTTCATGTATGCAATACCCGCAGCACACGGCTGCCTCTCGATTGCCTCACAGCTTATCACGGCGTTTTCAATCTCTCCACAATACATTAGCTTACGACCGTTTCTTAAATACGTGATTTATTATTTGTTTTTAGTGTTTGGTTGATCCTTTTCACGAATTGAATGATTTTTGACAGTCATAATATCGGTGGCAGACATTTTTGAACAAGAAAAGTTAAATTGTAAAAAATACTAAAACACTAATCTATCTATCTATACTATTATAACTAGGTAGCGTTCGCAGAGGCATCCACAATAAAATTGAGCGGAGTCATCAAGAATTCATATTATATTGTTTTTGTCATACTGCAGTAAAAACAGTCGTTTTTAATGCATACGTAGCGGGTCTAAAGTAGAAATTTTACTCTTTAGGGAGTAAAAATCGTTTTTTAGACTCTATGGAGTATATATCTGCTGTTGTCAACTCAGTTGTAAATTTAGATTGTAAACAATTGCGAAATTGCATACATCGATATCGAAAATATGTATCGATTCGTGCTTCATAATCATTTTTACCAACAGATTTAAGAAAAGACAACATTTGTGCGGATATAAATAATAGGATAATTAGTTTGGCTACACATTGTTTTGTAGTTAAAGGAAGTAGAAACACAGATATGTCATTTTAGGTCTTTTCGGAAGCCTGCATTTACATTTCAAGTTTAAAACCTCTGGGATGGTCATTAGCTTTTTCTCAAATAGGGCGTTACAGTTCCAGCTAGTGATAATCTAGAAATCAACCCTTACAGTTTCGGATTCAACCATTTTGGCTGATTCAGTAACTGCATTAGATGACTTCATGTGATGGTGATTATATAAGCAAAAACACAAATTATATGGCATTCTCTCAAATCTGCGACCTTCATAACTACTAAAACATAAATAACCAGCCAATTATCTTAATATACTTGATAAAAAATTGTGTTTTTTACAATATTAAATATATAGATTGACTTAAAAGCAATCAATAAAGCAATCCGGTGAGCACTCCGGACTGCTCACCTTTACTACTTCCTCCAACACTTCCTACGTCACGGACCTGTTTCCCTGCCTTCCCATAGCATTTTAGGATTGCAGATATATTAATCTAATCGCCACAAACGGTTCCCACGGTCCGGACAGCTCACCTTGACTACTTCCTTCACCACTTTCCTACGTCGCGGACCTGTTTCCCTCCCTTCCCATAGCATTTTAGGATTGCAGATATATTAATCTAATCGCCACAAACGGTTCCCACGGTCCGAACAGCTCACCTTGACTACTTCCTTCACCACTTTCCTACGTCGCGGACCTGTTTCCCTCCCTTCCCATAGCATTTTAGGATTGCAGATATCTTAATCTAATCGTCTTAAACAGTTCCCACACTCCGAACAGCTCGCCTTAACTACTTCCTTCACCACTTCCTACGTCGTGGACCTGTTTCCCTCCCTTCCCATAGCATTTTAGGATTGCAGATACCTGAATCTAATCGTCACAAACGGTTCCCACACTCTGGACAGCTCGCCTTTACTACTTCCTTCACCACTTCCTACGTCACGGACCTCTTTCCTTCCCTTCCAATAGCATTTTAGGATTGCAAATTCCTTAATCTATTGATCATGAACAGATCCAACACTCTGGAAGGCTCGCCTTTACTACTTCCTTCACCACTTTCCTACGTCGCGGACCTGTTTGCCCCCCTTCCCATAGCATTTTAGGATTGCAGATACCTTAATCTAATCGTCACAAACGGTTCCCACAGTCCTGACAGCTCGCCTTGACTTCTTCCTTCACCACTTCCTACGTCACGGACCTGTTTCCCTCCCTTCACTTAGCATTATTGGATTGCGAATTCCTTAATCTATTGATCATAAACAGATCCAACACTCTAGAAGGCTCGCCTTTACTACTTCCTTTACAACTTCCTACGTCGCGGACCTGTTTCCTTCCCTTCCATTAGCATTTTAGGATTGCAGATACCTTAATCTAATCGTCATAAACAGTTCCCACACTCCGGGCAGCTCACCTTTACTACTTCCTTCACTACTTCCTACGTCACGGACCTCAAACTTGTGTCGTCATTTGATTATGTTTGTGATCCATACCATTTCTGTTCTATTATCTGTGGAATAATGCTGTCAGCTATTTCTTTATCTTCTGCATTCAAAAGTCAACAGCTGATCGTATGGCTTTGTTTATGTGTCAAAGTCAAATACTGCTTCTATAAGGATAACATTGAAACTTTGAGACCCAGTGGGGCGGATTCCTGAGAGACTTTTTTATCGCCATATAGATGTTGGCACTCACCGATATGGTCTTTATCACCATGCAAAATTTGAAAACGATTGATCCAGCCGTCTAGGAGGAGTTTGCGTATTACGAAATGCATAAGAGTCATATCCAACCAAAAGGTGAGTGAGCGTAGCGAACGAACTTCAACCTGGAGGCGAGTGAGCGTAGCGAACGAGCTAACCTGAAGACAAGTGAGCGTAGCGAACGAGCTAACCTGAAGGAAAGTGAGCTCCAACCTAAAGGTGAGTGAGCGTAGCGAACGAACTTCAAAAAGAACCTAAATTTCTTAAACCATGTCCTCACTCATAACTGCTATAAGCATTTGATACTTATATGCCAACCCCGTACGAAGGACGGGTACTCTGCTAGTAGAATATAATTTTTTAATAGTTATACAATAATAATAAAAAATAATATGATGTTTTATCTGATTTTTAATGTTTATAAATGTGTTTAAATTTGAATACTTCTTTTATATTTAGGTAAGTAATGGCGTAATGGTCTAAGAACAAGCACACAAAACGTACTACTATAACCCAGAATGCCAACCGCATGGTAAAAAGCATTAAGCGTTTTGAGACAGCTTTGCCTGTCAATCCGTAGGCAGCGCCACCAGCGTTGCCATGCAATAGGATAGCTATTCTGCTATTGCATGGCAACGCTGGTGGTGCTGCCTACGGATTGCGGATTGACAGGCAAAGCTGTCTCAAAACGCTTAATGCTTTTTACCATGCGGTTGGCATTCTGGGTTATAGTAGTATGTTTTCTGTGGAACAAGTCAAATAATGTAAAAATGTGCTTTGAAACAGAGAATTTGGCTCCTTTATCAAAGATGTAATGCTTAAATTATTTCATAGAATAATATGTTCTATCACTAGGCTTTCAAGGAGATCCTGTTAAGCAATAATCTCACCTCCATTGTCGATAAACATAAAAAAGTAAAAATATTCTAGAAATTAAATAGATTTGAAACCATTGAAAGGACTGGAACATTGATTTTGAATCGGTCATTCACATCATAACTTCCTTTTAGGCCAAGATTTGAGATTCAGCTGTCTACTCTAACCATTGATTTTGTATATTGAAGTAGACATGGCATCTTTAAAGATCAGCTGTAAAAGATCTTCGACTAAAAAGAAGATACTTTACTTTCTTTTATACTTTCTTATTAAATGGCGACCATACAAAGTACATAGGTATTTTAAGCCAAATATGAATGCAGATGAGTGTAGGATGAGTGGCGCGATCTTGTAGTCTTGTTAGTGACTAAGCTCGACATTCCTTAGACACAGCGGTTAATTAATAGTCCATACAGCTAATGGCAACTAAGGGGACCTTCAGTTTATTTATAGTGGAACTTGAACCACATTTTTGCCTTTGTATATACAAATTGGTCTAATTATCAGGATAGTACTGCGGATTTGTAGTACTCACTCGTGCGGATGTTAATCCACACCAGGGAGTATCGCATCCACAGTGCATGCCTATAAATATCCACAATTCGTGACCTCCCAATAGCTGGATTACAGGACGACACCACCCGTCCCAGTCATAGTATAAGGAGCCCCCTTTACAAAAGTTTTTTTTTTCTTTTACTTGCTACAACTTTACTATGGGAGTGTTGTCTACTCTTAATCGTTCTCTTATAGTCCAAGCATATACAATACACTATACGACTTGATCCATACCTACTTATCTTTCAATGCTAAATTGAAATACATACAATCATTTTACACATTATGTCTCATCAGATCAGTTCTTACTGTAGCTAGCAGTATAGCTAGGGTACAGCTGTCAGGCCAGTTAAAGTTGCAGTTGTTAGCATTGGTTGCCTGGCAACACAACACGCCATTGGCCACTCCTCTTTGCATGTCGTAGCTCGATACCTTGACCTGTGGAAGGTTATCGCTCTAGAATGTAAATATTTCACTTGCCACTGACCTGCGTTGACCATTATTTGATGAGAAGGGAGAAGATTTAAAGTTATTTTTATGTCCGAAGTCCTGTGCTCTACCAGCTTACTCCCCCGGTGATTGCACTGCTAGGTACTGCAAAATACAATGCGTTATTTTAAACGTAATATATTATTAAATTTTTGAAACTGAAACTACTACTTATAGTTTGTATGTAGTTATATGACCTTTCCTCAAGTCAACTGGTTTTGGAGCACAAGACTTTAGTTTGTAGGGCTATAGGTTCAAATCCTTCCAATTTCCAAAGATAAGCTATGTGATAACACTAATACGTGGTGTTTTGGAAGTCCACCTTTAGCCGTATGCAGGGAAATATTAAGTGTTACATTGGACAAACCTCATAAACAGGATGCTGCAATGTATCGGATACTTTAGATTACTCGTAAGCATACAAAAGAGTCTGCAAATCCTACATGTGGCTAACATGTCTAGGGGCACAGTCAGCTTCTTCACAATCAATCAATCAATCACCACATTGAATTCCAATTTGCAATTATTCCATAAGAAATTACCATGCATGGTGTTAGTTAAAACACAAAGACACAAAACACTAACAACTTTTCTCGTCCCACAGGTCATAGAGCAGGACCGTCACCTACTACGGCGTAAGCTTGTGTCCAGCCAAGCCGAATATGACACCCGCATCATCGAGCTACAAGCGGACATCCGCGAGCTGCAACGCTCACTGGAGAAGACGGAACATGATCTCAAGGCAACGGAGAAGGAAAAGACACTCTTTATCTCTGAGCTGACCGAGCAAAACCAAAGACTGACCACACAAATCAAAGAGGTAGGTAAAGTTTAAAAGGATTAACAAGATTCCCATGATAGTCAACGTGAAATGACTTACTAGTTTTTTTCTGCCCGTGCTTCGCAGCGGAGCAAGAATACTGTGGGTATCTAAATCTAGACTAAAAAAAACAGCTACAAACACTTACCATGGAAATGACATAGGCAAATCTCAATCCTACTTATTGCTTTATTTTAATGAAAACCTCTTGTGTATTTGCATTAAACTGTGTGGCAAACCAAAACCTTTGAAACTTGTTTGTAATATTACCATAGAATCAAATTATTAACTCAAGGAAAAAGTAAACAAACAAACTATAAATAAAAACAAATCTATCAGCTGGTGCATCTTCAATATTTTAAATGTGTTTAGATACAACTCTTTTAATGATGGTAATGATGGTAATGATGGGCTCTTAGGAGAGGGTTTATCGAAAAACTTATGTTTTACGGGGAAGTTTCACATCAAGACCTTTTTGTTCAAATGTGCGATTGATAGGTTTGCAGCTTACGATTTTCTCAAAAGTTTAAGATTTCAGCTGAGTAATATTATTGTGTAATAAATCCTATAGTTTTGCTGGTTAATTTTTTAATTGCATAATGTTATTACCTATACAATTTTATGTAGAATAGAAATAACTAGAAGTGCTGTAGTTTTAATTCAATTATTTAAAAATCTAGGACATGATTTCAGGAATAACCCAATAGAAAATCATTCAGGACCTCATTCTATAAAAAAGTTAAGCTTTTTTTATCATCTAATTAATTACTATTAATGAAATTAAAGTTATTAATTTTTTTGTTTGAGGTTGAGCTCTACAACACAGTGATAAAAACTTGAATGCTGCAAAAGTGAGCAATTTCATTATGTACTCCTTATAAGACATTTATTTGTCACCTGCTATACAATATAAAATCATTATTCAGGCACAGTTAAAAGCAACACACCATTGAAACTTAATTACTGTAACGAGAACAGTATACGTTTATCGCTCTTGAAGAAGTAAAAAGTATTCATCTATGATCAATAAACTTGTATTGTGAGAATATCCATTGGTGTTGTAAATTACACATGCAGATGATACATTCAGTTTCAGTGCAAGATATTCCTAATGGAAGATACCTTTATGTTGCAGTCAAGCAAGACAGAAGAACAGCTGACTCTACAACTACAGGGTCTGAGAGATCAATGGAATATGAGGAAGTCTAGTCTGCAGGATCACCAGTCAAGCTTAGAAGTACTTAAGGATGAGGTAAGTTACCCTATATGTCTAAAAATCATTAATTATTATTCAAAATACATTATTGTCAGCAATAGGGCTTTACTTCGATTCGGAATGAAAATGAGCAGGTGAAAACAACGTAACTTAGAACTAAAAAATGATATACCAAGTTCAGTCTTACTTTTGATCGAACTAACTTGACTTCAAGTCAAGACTGTGATATGATTCTTTACCAGGAACTAAATTTTGAAGATAATTAAGACTATGCATGAATATACAGTGATTATATGAAGGAATTGAATAGGATACTTTTTACCAGAATGAATAAACTGCATTAAAATTATCATTAAGTGTGCTATGCTATGATTAATTGAAATATGTCTTGGGATTTCTCGATTGTTGGTGAATATAAAAGATGCTATAGCTGACAATAATTCTATAACAAATCATAGAATAGAAGCAGAGATAAAAATGTTATATTGTGTAATTAAATAGGTATAGTAATAATAAGTCTTTCTAAAGTCAAAAGCTTGGAAAAATTCATTAAGTCAATACAATTTTCTTCCTAGATTAACAAGTAAGTTCAGACCAAACTCGAAAATAATACTCATTGAATATTTTACATACGTTTTGTTCCTAATAAAATTGTTGCTATTTGTCCCACCATAACTACATAACTACTAACTAGCAACTGGGTTAGTTGCGCAATGTTGACACTAGAACAGCTGATTAATTGTCACCTGCAATCTGCCAATGTTTACTTTCCATACTCAGTCCCTTGTTTATGAGCTTATATCTAGGCAGTAACTCTTTCATTGAAACTATTCATTTACTACAATTCCTCAAATTGTAAAGCTAGTGAAGTTCAACAAATTGTTTGATTTCAGATCTACCTAATGTCAGAAAAGAAAGGAGAGTTGGAAAGGCGGCTTCAGAATGTTGTTTCTCAGAGAGATTCGTTGAGTTCCGCCCTGGACGAGGCAACAGATAGGATAATGATGTTGGAGAAAACTACCAGAGAACAAGAACTAGAGGTATTTATTTTATATCCAACCTTATGTCTAAGGCAGATCTTGCAATTGTACTTTAATACAAGGTAGGCTTTTTCTTGTCAACTTTGCCAAAGACAAGTGAACTTCTAATGAATTAAACTCTAGAGTTGACAAAGGTCTACATGATAAGAATTGAGAAAACACTAAGCAAATTGTCATAGCTAAATGAAAAATCCCCCCTGGGCTGGCGACTTACTTTTACAATTTTAGGTTCATATCCAATAATTGCAAAGAACGAAGAAAGCCATTTTTAATTAATTAATCTAGAAACTAACCACATTCAGAATCTATGTTTTGGCAAATGGGCAGTAAACAATACTTTTTTACATGTTAATGGAGAACACAAGTGCCTCACAAAGATTTTGTTGGATATTTGGATAGTTACAAAGTTCAAGTTAACCCTATTTTAGAAAAGGTCTCTAGCAGTCTTTCAATGTGCGCTTGAAGCGGATTATAAGCAGGTTCGGGAAGGAACTATTGGGAGGAGGAGTAAAATACCTGGAACTAGGATGCTCTATTGTGAACCTTTTAACCTATCTTTCCAAATGTTCATAACCAACAAAGATTGTTTGCTTGTTACAGCTACTGGCCAATCAGAGAGAGTTAGAGGAGTTGCGTAGTGAGAACAGTCCGGAGAGAGACAGGTTGACATTGCTACATAGTCACAACACGTCTCTAGGCAACCGAAGTCTACACAGTGAGATGGAATGTGACGACAGTATAGTACCTCTGGGAGACGACCATCATCAGGTGCGGCAACATCAAAATATCATACTAAAATATCCCTTGCTGGCCGAAATGTCAACACTTTTTTAAAGCATAATAGTACATAACCTAATAAACAACCTAAATTTACTTGTCTACTGGTTAGAGTGGGGGGACCCATGTCCTTGTGGCTAGTAGAAATACCATGTATGACTAAATATTATAAACATTTTAGAACAAATTTTCCAATGGTTTGAGACCAATTTAACCCGTAAATTGTCTCATAAAATAAATTATTATTAGTCTCTTAGACAGGGCAGGAATAGTAGTTTACGCAACGATTGCGTTAAGTAAGTCCTTACGACACGAGTAGAAAATTTAAGGCACGAGCCTTGGCGAGTGCCTTAAAAACTTCTACGAGTGTCGTAAAGACTATTAACGCGAGTTGCGTACACTACTTTACCTACGACCGTTTTTTAATTACTATCAATCTGGATTTAATTACTAACAATCACTAATGATAACTTTTTAGAGAGGTTATGTTTTCGTGTATTGTCATTGCCACTGAAAGTGATGCAACGACTCGTTGTATAATCAGCTGATTTCCTGTAATTACGTGTTTGTTAAACTTCGTTAAATATTACATTGCTAGCAGCATTCTTACCATAAATAATATTGTATCAGGTACAATTCGGCAAATATTTCATTTATTTTTGGACTTCCACCAACTTAATTAAGAATACGCGAGTATCAACATGAACAAGTCGGATCAACAGTTAAATTGGTCAACTGATCAGCTGATCAGCTGATTAGTTGACGTTCGAAGCAATACAATTTTAATTCTTTTCTCTCAATACTTGAACCTCATTGGTCCGTTACCTGTGTGGATATGAGAAAACTATGCGGATATGAAATGAAACTATGCGGATATGAAAGTAAACAGCTGTAAAGTGAAACTTTTCAATTCTAAAAACTGGACTGAAATGGCTACTTTAAAAAACGGTCGTAGGTAAAACCTTTTTTCCTACAGTCACCCGACAAAGTTGGCTTCCTTGTACTGTTTATAGTACAGAAAGCTGCTAATTGCTGCATATTTATACTTTGCCGTACGGTTTATACTTTGCCGCACATCAGGATTCCAACGAAACAACACAAAACAGCGTGGTTTTATTATGCACGTAATCCGTGTACGCTTGGAAATAGGTTGGCAACACTTAAAGATAATAATACTATGAGCAGCTGATTGACTATTATAACTACGATTTAACCTTGTCATTTCGTGTTTATAGCTTCGGTATTTCTGAACTTTCTGGACTTTTCTTTTAAACGTTTTTAAAACATTCCTACGATCTTAATAAACAAGAAAATACCTTTAAAGCCTTTTTTTTAGGTGCGGAAACCACTTCAAATTAGAAAAACATACGGAACTATATTCTCAAAACGCGGAGCACATTTCTTGCCGAGGAAAAATAGCGGAGTGATATGGACCGCAGGTACTACTTTCTCTAGGGCACCATTTGTGTTGCCAGCTGAACCTAAAAACGTGTTGTATAGTGTTTGAAAGACTAATTATTTATATGCTTTATAGTGACTGTAGGAAAAATATAATGTGTAACACGAGTGAAAAAGGCCTTTGCTGCACACGAGAGCAATGTTTACGCACGAGCCGCGCGAGTAAACATTGCTCTCGTGTGCAGCAAAGTGCCACTTTCACCACTAGTTACACAAATAACTATTTCTTCTTTGAGATCACTAATTAATTATTAATAGGAATACTACAATAATTAATCTACCCACTATTTGAAATGCCATCTGGGTCCAGATCAGACTTTTCTTGAGTTACATTCCAAAACTCAACTATTTTGTCATATCACAGCATACTGGATGTGAATGTTATTACATAGAATAATGAAAACTCCTTATCGTGATAACTGTTGACAACTAACTGTTTTTTTTTTTCAATTACAGCTGAAGCTAGAAATTGTGAGCGTCTACGATCGAGTGAGATCTGCCTGTCAAGACTTAAAACATCGAATACATCGGACAGACATCCCCATGAAGCCTGACATCACTGTACATCAAGTCAAAGTAAGTTTAAAAATCTGAAAATAAGGATCTATTATAGGAGTTTCTATTATAGGCCTACTAATATTGTACCAATTGATAAATTATCAATCTTTGGTTGGTTATCAATCTTATCAATTTGATTAGGCCTGCTTGTTTATATTGGCATATTTTTAAAAAATCTGGGTTTTGTCCACACTTTTTTCTCTCCTGTTTAACTCCCAGAGCACTGTACTTCTGATTGTAACACGAGTTTCTTAAAAAGGTTGTGGTTTTTGAAAACTTATTTATTATCTGTAAGGATCGAGGAAGATGATTAAACGAGTGTGATGTTTTCAGGTTGGACTGTTGACAAGTGTGGTGCAAGAACTGTGTGACCTGGTAGGGGAACTGAACACTGGAGATTACAACAATAGCAGTGTTAGTGTTACGGACCTTGAGGTGAGCTTTACTGTGCATTGTAAGCTGACAGTAAATTTTTGATTAAATCCCTTATTAATTGTTAAGGGTTCTGAGACAGGGTTTGTAATTATGTTTTGCAGAGGCTTTGATCAATATAAAAATAGAAATATGTGAGGAAGTTTCCTCCAGAGCACTAGGCCTTATCAAGGGTGGTAAGGGTCGATAAGTGAAAGACTCTGGGTATCTCAAACTTCCATTTTATTCCCTGATATCCTTATCCTAACACATATGTTTATATATACAATATTATATACAGTCTTGATCCTGGGTCCGTAGTCCTCCTACCAGGCAGTGTCTCCGGGCTCGTATTCAGGGGTTGGGCAGAGGTTGGATCAAGTCTTGCTTATTCCCTTACTGGCCCGGTGGTCTATGACACTCCTAAAAGATATCCGTGTGGGTCCGCGGTCTAGATCCTTGGCACCTTCACCCCGGAATCCTCGGTCCCCTAGCTGCTGCTCTCCACTGGAGACGGTTCTGGCTTTCCAAGCACAGAAGTCAAGCTGGGCCGGTTTAATGTGCTACTGCTCTCCACTGGAGACGGTTCTGGCGTCACTTGCTCAGAAGTTAGCACTCTCTAGGCAGTCTACTCGGTCTGCAGTCCGACGTAAACTCCTTCAACACTTAGCGTATACCTATGTATATGCTTTAAAGGTGGTGGGGGACTCCAAAGTCCTCCCCTCCACCTACGACTACGGACCCGCGGGCTCAACACGCCCATGCGAGGGTGTCGGTGGCTCAACACGCCCGTCCGACAGTGCTGGTGGCTCAACACGCCCGTCCAGCGGTACCCGTGGCTCAACACGCCCATCAGGTGTCCCGCGGGCTCAACACGCCCATGCGGGGTGTCGGGGGCTCAACACGCCCGTCCGACAGTGCTGGTGGCTCAACACGCCCGTCCAGCGGTACCCGTGGCTCAACACGCCCATCAGGTGTCCCGCGGGCTCAACACGCCCATGCGGGGTGTCGGGGGCTCAACACGCCCATCCGGCGGTGCTGGTGGCTCAACACGCCCATCCAGCGGTACCCGTGGCTCAACACGCCCATCAGGAAACTCGCGGGCTCAACACGCCCATGCGAGGGTGTCGGGGGCTCAACACGCCCGTCCGACGGTGCCGGGGGCTCAACACGCCCGTCCAGCGTACCCGTGGCTCAACACGCCCGTCAGGTAGCTCGCGGGCTCAACACGCCCATGCGAGGGTGTCGGAGGCTCAACACGCCCGTCCGACGGTGCCGGGGGCTCAACACGCCCGTCCAGCGTACCTGTGGCTCAGCACGCCCATCAGGTGTCTCGCGGGCTCAACACGCCCATGCGAGGGTGCCGGGGGCTCAACACGCCCGTCCGACGGTGCCGGGGGCTCAACACGCCCGTCCAGCGTACCTGTGGCTCAACACGCCCATCAGGTAACTCGCGGGCTCAACACGCCCATGCGAGGGTGCCGGGGGCTCAACACGCCCGTCCGACGGTGCCGGGGGCTCAACACGCCCGTCCAGCGTACCCGGGGCTCAGCACGCCCATCAGGTAACTCGCGGGCTCAACACGCCCATGCGAGGTTGCCGGGGGCTCAACACGCCCGTCCGACGGTGCCGGGGGCTCAACACGCCCGTCCAGCGTACCTGTGGCTCAGCACGCCCATCAGGTATCTCGCGGGCTCAACACGCCCATGCGAGGGTGTCGGGGGCTCAACACGCCCGTCCGACTGTGCCCGGGGCTCAACACGCCCATCAGGCCCCACACCGGTGGCTCAGCACGCCCATCCGGCGGGGTCGGGCCCGGAGGCCCAACTGACTTCTCGGTGCCAAACACCCTGGTTAAGTACCCGCCGAATGGTACCCAAGAGGTGGGGGTGAGTACCTTACCACCCCCATCGGAGCATCTCTCCCCTCCATTGGAGTCATTTCGATGTCTCCGAGTACCTTTGTATCTTTAACCTCAAAATTTTCTAGGGAGTCAAAAACACTTCTTTACAAATAAAAGAAACAAAACAATTGAAATAGTCTATGTTGACTGGCCACTTTCTTACATTCCGAGTAGCATTTTCAAAAATAGGTTTTAGGACACTAAATTGTCATATTTAAAAAAAGTTAATTTATTAGATTTAATTTATTAGATTAATTAGTTAATAATTAGATAGACAGGTTAACCTGCCTATCTACTGGCTTTGTGTAATCGCAGTATTAGTGATATCCCAGCAAGTTTTCTAGGTTTTAAAAGCAATAAAGCAAGAGACATTTTTAATAGTTTACTTGACAAAGACAACTTAACTCCTCTTGTGCCTTTTTTGATAATTGCAATGAAATAAACCTTAGTCACAAAACAAATTTTTCTTAGTGTCTTGTCAGGTTTCTGAACCCCTATGTAGCCAGAATGTTAAAAAGAATATTAAGTTTATCATCAATTAAGTTATTTTTTAACAAGGTAGTGATTTTGTTTGTAGGTGGAACTCCATCGGGCTCAGGAGGCTGTTGACAAAATGACCAAAGATATTGAAGCAAAGAAAGAAGAAATCAAGAAACAAGGAGAAGCCATCATGGACCTTACTGGAAAAGTAAGAAATGAGTTTATGATGTTTATATTATTATTTGACTCTACTTGGATGGATAATCAATCTGTTTTATTGATACTGTTTTTATTAAAAATCATGACAATAAAAGAAAAGATTATAAAAATAAAATTCACTTTGGCTACTTGCTATGCACAATTAATAGAAAATTTCATTTTTTCTACTTGACTGGTGTTTGTGTCACCACTTTGTTTTTGTAAAATTCACTGACAAATTGATCTGACAACAGAGTTGACTTAACAATTTATGGATACTTAATAACAAAACTAGTTTTAAAACAAGATGAAACAAAATCCTGGATAGGTAAAATTTAGCGATCAGCTAAAAGTGAATCAAATCAAAGCTACATACACTAAAAAAAGTGTACAAAGACAAAAAAGTGCAAAAAAACATTAACATAAGAAGCTTAAATCAATTAATCTCAGTACTTTATATAATGCCCTAGTAATTTAATGAGTAATGACAGACATACTAAAAAAAAAAAAATCAAATAAACAAAACGATAATAGTGCTGAAATTTCATTTTTAATAGTTGTTTAATGATAGGTTCCGGATTACGTTTGAATAGTTATAATGGTTTCAGTACCTGCATTCAGTAATCCAAATTGCTGTTTCTGGCAACTACAGTTTCGGTTCTGCTAAGGAACCATCTTCAGGCCGTACAAGGTTTCTTCAGGTTATTTACCTCTACTGTAAATGAAGGTCGTCATTGATGATAAAAAAATACATATAAAATACACACGAACACACTCATTGAAAGACAAACGTTGAACATTAAAAACAACTGAGTACTCGGGGACACAAGACAGGTGCGACACGACCGAGCGGAAGTCGTAGTTGAACTGATTCGCCCAGTCGAGTCGCACCTGTCTTGTGTCCCCAAGTACTCGGTTGTTTTTAACGTTTAACTTTTGTCTTTCAATTTGTGTGTTTTATATGTATTTTTTATCATCAATGACGACCTTCATATACAGTGGGAGGTAAATAACATCAAGACACCTTGTATTGCCTGAAGATGGTTAAATAGCAGAACCTAAACTATAGTTGCCACAAGCAGCAATTTGAATTACTAAGTGCTGTAATTGGTGGTGTACCACAAACTAATACTAGGAATTTAATAAACTGTTATTCATTTCATGCTACCCTCAGATCATACCTGCTAAAGTGTTTAGGAGAAATAACAAGGTCTTTAAAAAACAACAGAACACCTCAAAAAAGAACTTTTCACCATAGCAGTAGACCTGCACTATCTAATGCACTGCCACTGTTTTTTGTTCTGGCTTTCTTTTACTGAACTATTCTTATGGTCCAATTCCTATCCAGCCGTGCGGCTGTAAAAATTGACTGCTTTATTGCAAAGTAAATGTAACCCATTCCTATCGAGCGTCTACAGACAGAGTCGTTAGAGTCATCAGATCAAGAGTCGTTACGACTCGACTGTTTCGTGAGCAGTAAAGTTGATGGAACTGGTTCGTCACCATCCATACGTTTTCAACCCCAATCACCCTCAATACTCTCTGAATGAGAATCTGAATGAAGATGTCTCTGAATGAGAATACTCTGAAACCCTTCTTTTCCCCGTACCATGAATAATGGATTAGGTTGTTCATTGTTTTTTACCATGCACATTAATATTTCCTTTTCCTCCTCTTCTCCAAGTAATATATTCACTGCCAACTGAGCTTATTCCATGACGGTGAGTGCAATTGCACTAGTTGTGGGAGTCGCAGGAGCCGCGGCATAGGAATTAAGACAAGAATTAAGACAGCGGCTGTAGATCAGAGTCGTACCAGTTGCCGCATAGGAATTAGACCTTTAGTCTGCTTTGAAACTAGATGTTTTTTTTAATATCAAACAGAAGATAGAGATTTTAGGCTATGCACCAAATCTACAAATATCCTGTCACATTTTTCTCTTTTTAATATTTGAAATTTTACAACCAGTCAATAAAATAATACTGTTTACAAGACTTTAGCAGAGAGTATTGACACAAAATTGTATGATAAAGTTGAAACAAAATATTTTGTTTATAAACCTTGAAATAGTGTACTTAATGTAAAACAAACATATTTGTTATATAAGAATGGCCAGTATCGGTGAAACCGCAATTTGAAATCCATGGCTTATAGATTCGCTCCACTGCATGGTTAACATAGAATGGAGTATAGCTAAACTCCATCCCATTCCAACACTACAAAGATAACATTCTTTAAATAATCCGTGTAAACTCGACCAAGTATGTAATTTCAAATAATTAGTGTAAATTAAACCAACATAACCTCTGGTGTAAATTCAACTATTTTCCACCAGTTGAGCGTTAAGGAGGTTGAGCTGTCAGGTGCGCAAGAGGCACTCGACCTAGCACGAGCGGATCTGCACGACGCTGGCGCACTGGCCAAGGATGAGATGGTGCAGAAGGCATTCGAGGTGCGCGACGGCGCAGTGCAGCGCAAGAACGCCACGCTGCTGCAACTGGCCCACACTCGTATTGAGCTGATGCAAGCCAACAGTCAGCTGATGGAGGCTATTCAGCAGAAGGTGGAGTTGAGTCAGCAACTGGATCAGTGGCAGGTGAGTAATATTCAGTGAAATAGTTATGTGTGCAACTAGTGAGTAAAGCCGTACTTTTTTTAATGAGAAAAAATGCTGTCAATGTAATCACGTTTAAAGAAGACAGCTTTCATCACGAATTGCACGTTAAAATTTGTTGACAGTTTTTGGAATGTGGTAACTAAAGAAGTATTGTGCTCAACAAATATACAACATTGAGGATAGGTGTTTTGTGGCTGAGCAGCAAAACACACCTATTGAGGTGACAAACAATGTCATTGTCAACCCGAAATTCGCCAATCAAAAATACTCTCCACTAGTAACATATTGTTGATCATCTTCATAAATTAATAATTACTTTGTTGTTAAACTAAAACATTGTTTTCACCACACTATGATGTTTTTCGCTGTTTTACATACGTTCATTGGTGGCTGAAAGTTACGTTTTGCTGGCCATGCCAGCTGTCGTCGTTATTTGGGGACCGAGCAGGTTTTTACATTCCTAGGGCCACAAAATCAGCTGCCCGCTTACTTACTTAAACACAATCAGTATCCATAGCATTGCAATAAAATTGTTTTATTGTCACCGTTGCCTAGCAACTATTTGTTATTATTTTAGCTAAATTCCTCAAATTATTTCTCTGCATAAAAGTTGTAGTTGTGTTGAATATCAGTGTGCATTGTTATTGTGGTGAATAGTGGTAATAGGATATAGTGTGGTGAAAAATAGCGTTCGTACCACGGACCGAAATGGTTTTGCAGCTCTCGACTTCGTCTCGAACTTAAAAACTATATCAAGCCGGCAAAACCTCATTTTCGGCCCTATTTACGATATGTATTATTGTTATTCATAAATTTGTTCATGTAATAATTAATTTTACTTTTAAACAGCTTGTTTCATGTTGATTACTATTTAATTAAAATAAACTTAGCCTAAATAAATTTTGAGAAATTCGATGTCTTGAAAACGAACAGTAAATCTTGCTGATAACTACTGTTTTTTTTGTTTTTTTTTTTTAGTTAAATTTTATAACGCAACGTGCTGTCTTTGAAATTGACTCAATATAGTTGAACTAAAATCAACATTTTCCCTCATTCTAGATGGACATGCAATCCTTGTTGGACGAACAAATGAGGAGAAAACTAGCCAATCCTGAACCTGAACAGTCGTCCAGTGGTCAAAGCACTCCAGCATCTGCCGAGCGTAAGCGAACGTCTCGTCGTCTGTTTGGATTGTTCCAAAGGTGACCTGCTTAACCTGTGTTTGTAATTAAAAAACTCAACTTTGTACATTTGTAAAAAAAAAACATGCTCTAAGCATAACCGGTTACAAAATCTCGTAGAGTAACGTAGGATAAGATTTTAATATTCATTGCTACAATGTCAATGTTTTACTCATTTTATTTATAAATTTTATTGCCAAGCAATAGTATTAGTCGTTTTTAAGATTTTTTATCGAGTCAGTATTTTTATACTTTTTTAATAGTCCTGGAGTATATTTTAGCCTCACATGCAATAGAAGGAAGTCAGGTAAACATAAACATTTTTTAGTGAGATTTAGTTATTTCGATTGTGTTTCGATTTGTGTCATTGTAACAGTAACATATTTATGTATTTATTTAAGTGTAATTTGATTTGTTATTTGTGTTTAAAAAATGTAAACACTCAACAAATATTAACGTTACTATCATTCCATAAATTGTATTGTTGTTTCTACTTGTGCCTTGGGTCTCTGTGATGATGTTTGTGAGTCAGACTTGAGGAGAAAACATTGTAGTGTGTAATTTAAAATTGCCAACTTACACTTATTGTTATTACTGAACACATCCTTTTAACGGTTGAAAAACTATTCAAAGAAATCTTATAAAAGATTTATATGCTTGGTAAGAAATTAAATATCAAAAACTTCAATCTACACACAAAAAGAGAGTTAAATGAGGGTTAAATAATAAGTTAACATGTAAAATCTAGGACACTTTTTAACTACAGGGTTTTGTATATTCAAGTAAGTTTGCTAATATTAAATACTAATTTGAAAACATCAGCTTTAATTATTTTATTGTAAAATTATTAAATACACTATCATTAACTTAAGATTCCTGTGATATGTGACCAGTTTAGATAACAAATGTTCAGGGTAAGGATTAATAGAACATCTTACTATCTCTGCAAATCGTTGATTTAAAATTTGTTTAGCCTAATATTTAATTTTCCATTCGTTTTTTTTTTCACCAGAATAATTGTAAGTAGAATTGTAACTAACACCATTTTGTGATAGAAATATTTCTCTAAACTTTGTTAAGCATTGAAAACTATAACTTGTTGATTGATTGTAATTTTATTAGAAAAATATATTTTCTAGAACTATACATATTAGCGCACATTATCGCTGCAATTTACAGTAAATATAATGAAAGAGCTGTGCTTGTATATAATTATTGTAGTTACGTTGTAAATAACAGCATTAAAACTGAATATATATTGTTAATTGAGCATTAATTTGTTTACCTCATTTGCATTCCCTTCATGCAACCATTGACTTTGGATCAAGTATTCGTCTAATCTATAATAGATCAGCTGTACTATTGAAGTTGTATTATCTCCTGAGCTAAACAGATTGTGTGATAACATGTTCTAATACTGTAGGAAAAATGTTGATGACGTCTGTCATGCAGCAAAGACCGATTTCATATATAGGAGTTTTTTCTAGAATAGGAGAACATGTAAACAATCTACCTGAGAAAATCACACTCCTGAAGGCTTCTTAGACGAACAAAAAAATCACACAACTTAATTTCTTCACTGAAGAAGTATTTAAAATAGTCTTGCATTTAAGGTAGATATCAAGTGTTACCCTATGTGATTTTTTTGTGTGTATCTATATGTCCATTTACTTATTCTTTTAAAATAAGCTAGTTTAAACCGATCACTTCCTAAAAACAACCTCTGTTAGCCACACAAGGCTAAATCAAAGTTTTTATTAGTAAGCTAGAATAAGTGTTCAGATAAAAGGTTAATAAAACACATGAATCGCCAACGTTTCAAAAAGTTCAAATATAACTGTATTTACATCTATACAAAATCACAAAAATATACTTGTAAACACTTTTAACAAATATATTACAATGATTCTCCGATAAAACTGATGATTAAAAACTTATTTGTATGTTACAGCTAGACAGGTATATTGGCTAGGAATGGTTTTGATTTTATAAAGGAGGCCACAAAACTGCAACTTCATTGTGGGCAGACTCGGGGAGCCAACTTTGATAAGCGTTCAGGAGATCTGGGAAAAGGACAAATATTTATGAACACTAACAATCAAAACGTCAAAATTAAAAACTCTATGCTTAGTGATAAGTTTGATCAATAAGTAGGAAAAGAATTTGGCATTCGGATAAGAGTTAGCTAAAAATTCTTGTTTGAAACTCAAAAGGAAATAAATTACTTACACTTTGGTTCGTCTTCCCATTTTTCAAGTAGAGACGACTTTGAATCTACTTGGGCAGCAACAAGTGTCTTCAATAAAATCTCAGTCCTTGGTTGTAATCTGTAAATTATGTTTGTGTGAGACAGTGCTGAGAAATAAGAATAATTAAACATTGTTTTATTTTTAAAAGAATAAGAATAAGAATATGTTTATTGTCTTTCAGGCTACATAAGCATTGAGCAAAATTAACACAACAAAATAAACACAACAAAATTAACAAGATGCAAAACTCACTTGCATTTTGATTGTTTTTAATAGCAAGGGATTATTTTTTAGAATAAATAACAAGTAACATTTATGGAGTTATTGGAAAGGAGTTAAGTTCAGATAGGTCACAAAATTAGAGTCCAGGGTATTATAGAAAGTCACACAAAGTAAAAAGGACATTTCATCCTGGTCTAAGATGTCTTTGGTAGATTAAAGACATTTTGTAAAGATTCTAAACCATTGTAATTCTTTATTTCTTATTTTCCCACCCAAGTTAGCTGAACTCCTTAGTTTCCAAAAGAACTCATTGAGTGGCTACACAGCTTTTCCTTAAAATGTGTTCAGAATTTATAATAATTCCTAAACATTTCATAGTTAATGAATCCTCAAAGAAAGGTAGGTTTCAAAACCAAATATAATTGACATTTTCACATATTATTTATTGTTTTTCAACCAAGTAAAAACTCCATTAAAGTGCATTACCTAAACAGTAGAATTCATTATGATAAATAAATTCTCATTTTTGGCTTAAAATGGACTAAAAAAATCATCTCAACTCACCCTGCCCAGGACTTGACCATGGTCTGAGGCGTGGAGAGGAGATTTTTGGAGTACTTTTTGAGTTTTGGACAAACAGATCCGTTGAGAAAGAAGACAGCGAACCACTTGTAGCGATCAAGACCTTCTGGAAATTCAAGCTCGGTCACCGGCAGTGGCCAACCCCTCTTGCCTGAAATTATTGATCAAAATCAAATACAGTTTTACATCAATAAGTAAGTAGAGCCAGAGCGGAAATGCCACTGCTATTATTTACTTTCTGCAGAGGGCTTGTCTAGCTTGCCAACGGTTACTAAGCATTAATTTTAACAAATCACAAATTAATTAATATTTTTTCTTTAAATAGAAACATACGTTAATAACGTACTGGTAATTAATTTTAGGCTTCTGGCAAAAAAAAAATATATATATATATATATTTAGGCCTAAAATGACCCTGGATAACCTGAGGGCTAGGATAATCAAGAGTGAACTTTATATGTACAAGTTCATGATCACTTTTCAAAAATTCTTTCATTTTTACTTGAGTAAAGTATATTTTTGTAAAAAGATTATATCAAATTAATTGCACCTTAGTTTTTCATTCATATAATAGTAAAAACAAGCACTACCGTATTTCAACATTTCCTGAGAGGGTTAGGACAAAAAAAGGGAGAACTGTACAAGCTTAACACTCTTGAGGGCATCATTAGAAAGTATTCACTCACCAAACGAGCCAGAGAAGTGACAATACACCACGCCAGTGTCCTCGTTGTATCTGGGTGGAGGTTCGGTGAGCGGAGACGACAAGTTACATAAAGTCGGTGCAAACACCGGCAGCCATTCAGGCTCTATAGCTGTCACTCCTATTAAACATTGGGGTGGTTAATAAACTGTTATTACTGGTCAGAACATACAGCAGTAAAACTGAATAATTAAATCTTACGATATCAGCATTGTTTAGGCCTATATTGGCACTTACTGTAGTGCGTAACGAAGATGTGTTTTAAAAGTTTAAATTTGTTTGCTGGAGTGTATTCATTCCCATTCAGGTAAGCCTACTAATTTTTCATTTCATTTAATTGAATAAAAAAATCTTAAAACAAAGGCCTTAGTGCTCAAGTTACATCCTTAACCTAAAAAAGTAACATTTAATAAAGTTAGGTTAGTATATAAACAACTTGGATGTTAAGAATTTTTGTCAGCATTGCAATCTTATCTGAATGGGCTCAATCCACTCTGGCACAAAAAAACACAAAATATTTACAATATTTATAATCAAATACTATAAGGCCCGTTCACACGGGGCGAGTTTACAAGCTACTCGCCGGCTTTTTTACACGCAGCTAGTAAAATAGCTCAGTGTGAACGACGTACTCGCTCAAAAGCTGCTTGTAAAAAAGCTCTGGAAAAAGTTGACGCTGCCGCTACTTTACACGCCAACTCGCCAGCTTTTGAGCGAGTAGGCGTGTAAAGTAGCCCAGTGTGAACACAGTTGCTTGTGCTTGTGTGCTTGTTACTCAAAGATGTTGGAGGATTTGGTTCAAGCCAGCTACTGAGCGAGTTGAAAAAGCTTCGTGTGAACGACTACAAGCGCACTCGCCGACTCGCCGGCGTCTTTCTACACGTTTGCGAGTGGACAAGCTCCGTGTGAACGAATACAAGCACACTCGCCAACTCGCCGGCTTCTTACACGCTGGCGTGCAGCTTGTAAACTCGCCCCGTGTGAACGGGCCTATATTGATATTTTACTTATACTGACAGATCACTCAATAAGGTTTGGGTAGAGAAGAGAGATGTCCTCATCCACATTTCCTCCTCATCATTAAGATTTTTCAAGTACGCCAAAAAATATGTAACACCTTGGATTTTGCACTCTTTGGTGACATCCTTGCAATTTAAAATTTGGATACATTAATATTGTACAATCAATTAGTAAAAAGTAAAGATCAGTTTATTTGGTTAAAATGGTCAATTGGGTTAACCGACAGTAAATAAATATTTAGTAAAATGCATTTTAGGACCAAAATATACCTTGAAAGGTTCTTATTCTAGTCCATACATGTGACAAATTAATTTATGTTAAGGATTTTTCTGGGATAGCATACCTAAAAAGAATAAATAAGAATAATATAATAATAATATAATAAGAATAGTTCTTTTTGGTGCAAGCAACAAAAACATTTTGGGTTTAGATAATACAAATTAACACATATCAGTAACGGTGTGTAGTGTTTCTTGTGTCTTGTGGCAAGATGGAAGTTTTTCCAAATCAGGTAACTCTGCTATCCGAACAACCCTTAAAATCCCTTGTGCGTTAACACCATCAAGATGTAAGGAAATACGTTCAATCTATGCTATAGGTTATCTCCAGCTCTAAAACACACCTCTGAAGTACATCTTGTCTGTCTGGAATATTTCCTGGTAAACAATCCATTCTGGAGCAGCCTTGTATAATGCAGAGGTTGACGGCATGTGCACAACCTACAGAGATCACATGAGTTGTTCAGTAATTAGTACTGGTATTGTCTTTTTAAAATATTTTTTATAACAAAATATTTTGTTTACTGTAATGATGATCATCAATTCTCTTTCAAGTGCATGAATTCATAAACAAGAGAGACGTTTGGCCAAAACATGGGTCAGGATTACAAAAGTAGTTTGCCCCAAATTTTTACAGTTACATTCTAAAATGTGTGTATGTGGTGATGGCTGATTTTGTCATACACTACACTACCCACTAAATTATTGTAACTACATGATCTCTTTCAAATAAAACCTGACGAATGAGTTTTAGCTTTCATTTTGGGTATGTAACTGTCAAAAAGTTATACCACAATAAATCAGCCAAGTAACCAACAATATTATTTTTTTAAGCACCAACCCCAACAACATCATTATTCCACATTTCAACAAACATTATTCCTTAACTTTTATACTGAAAATATAACATGGAACCGTTTCAAACCTCTTCCATCTCGGGTGTTTGGTAGACAGGTTTGCCCTTGCGTAGTCCTCTGGAAGTCAGTTCTTCATCTGTCAGTTTGAGGGCAACTTGGTCCACCATACCTGCCAGTACTATCTGTCGTAGTTGTCTTGCCTTAAAACAAAAACTGCAATTAATACATGTGCTTTTATATGATACGCAAAGAAGAGAAAACAGTCCTAACCAGACTGAATATGAATGCTCAAGATTTGTTCTGGAAACTTTTACTTAGTAGGCCTATGAATGTAATAAGTTAAAAAATAGACA